TTTATTAACCTCCCATTAAATTTGGCAAATTTGACAGCTTATAACAAAAGAACGATGCCAATTACAAATATAGCAGTAGGCTCATTGGAAAGACCAAAGTTTTGTCTTTAATTTGCATATTCGATGATCAAATTTGCTTGTATCGTTATGAAGTAATTAAATAAAATGCGAAGATGTGTATAACATAAAATCTTTGGAAATTTCTTTTCAATATCTGAAGGAAATTAAATGTGGGACAAATCTTCATATAAAAGTGTGTTTTTTTTTAATAAGTATTTTATAACATTATACATAAATTATACATAGTAATAAAATAAATTTAATATATTTATATATATATAATTACTCTTTCTCTATCTTTTTTTTTATACAAAACAAAAATAAACATCATTTATACACAAATGCAAAGAAAAAAAAAATATACACAAAGGTTCGAAGTTCTGAACTGAACAGGATAAAACAGAAGAAGCCCTTTCAATATTCACCATGGTAACATTGAAATCGTTGCTATGTTAGTTGCTATGCTGTTATTTATTATTCGTTGTTTATAACCCATTGTTTACGTGATTAGCTGATAACTCGTTCTCATTTGTTTCCTTTCATAAGGTAAAGTAAAATAAATATATATGTATATGTATGTATTCATTGTTTTTTTTTAAGTAATCTAAATGATAATTAATAATATTCACAGTATGTGGAACGAAGACGATAAGTAATGTGTTTTGAAAGTAAAGTTGGCGTAGACGCGAAAACAAAATACCAAAAACAAATGATGAAAGAAAGCAAGAAGACATTTACAATAATTAACAAAGGCAAAAACAATAATGAAAACACAGAAAATCGAGTAGTCTGAATAATTTTAAATTTGGTTAAAGAAGTTGCCTAAGATTCGTACGTGTAATTATATTGTTAACGTTTTTCTTCAAGATGGAGGTGAATCAAAACTTTTGAGGATGGCAACCAAATGAACAAGAGTAACGAAAAGAAGAAGAATGATTAATAATCTTAATTAAAATTAAAGCGCGCGCGAAATTATTTCAAATAAACAAATGAAACTAAGAGAAGAAGAAGAACTAACAAAACAAAAATAAAAACACTAGGTAGGAACAGCAAAAAAACTTAGACGCTACGATTCGATCGATTAATTAAAGCTAAACATCACTTTCAGAGCGTAAATTGTTAAAAATAATAATAATATTTATGGAATTTTTTCCCTTTCCCTTTTTCTCTCTCTATGTATATATTTAATATCTTTCTCTATATAATTCTAAGTAGTTTGAATTGAGAGGAAGATGAATGAAAAAACTGTCGAATTGCATTAGAAATCTGCAAAGAGAGTGGAAATCCGTGAAAGTTCATGCTCGCAAACTGCCTCGATGATCCCCATCGATCGTCCAACGATTTGACTTTCGTATCTTAGCAACAACGTCGTCGTTGTTGTTATTATTGTTGTTGGCATAGTGATGTTGTTGTTGATGATGATGGTTGCTGTGGGAACCAAGCGATTGTTAGGAATGACCCCAGCCTTTGGTCAAGCGCTTCCAGAGACTCGGTTTGTCGATGTTCGGCGACGGCTGCTGATCCGTTCTGATCTGCTCCAGGAAACCGACCGTCGTCTGATTGGGAGCGTCCTGGACGTCCGCCGCGTCGCCTATCTCCCTCAGGTCTCGCATCATCTTCTTCCTGATCGTCTTCTTCATGCTCAGATGTCTTTCCAAAGTCTTGTACTTGTGCTTCGATCTGCTGTCCACGACGCCTCCGTTGTTGTCTCCACCGCACTGCAGACGCGGATTCTCTTTGTTCTCCTCCTTCTGGCAGACTCCGCCGCTCCACAAGTCCCGCACGTCACGGATTTTCCTCTCGTTGTTCACCGCCATCTTATTCTCATTATTCTGACAATTCACTGAAACAAAAGACATCAACAATTCAATTATATTGGTAGTCAATGACAACAAGTCAATAGAAACAAATATAAATTATAAGATGAAATCTGACTTGAAACGAATAGAATAGAAACTGAATCAGATTATTTTTAATTCAAGTAAATTCCAAAAAAAAAAAGAAAGTTTGCGATAATCTGATTATTCTTTAAATTATTGAAATGAGAAACATGTGAAACATATGAAAGGTAATTTGAAAACAATTGAGACGAGAGAGAAATGTCAAAATTGAAACATTTGAAGCAGAAAAAAAAAAAACAAAAAACAATCAATCAATGGCTACTGTCGAAACGATATCGATGCGAGGAAATGTACGAAACAATGGGTAAACGCGAAGAAGTGGAACAATCGAAGAAAGAAACAATGGCTTTCGGATTATCTTGGAAAACTGTTACTTCGAATAGGAGAAACAATTGAGTAAATAAATCTGTTTGTGTCAAGAGTCAAGAACAAATGAAAAGTAATTAGAAAAACCATGGAAACAAATATATTAATAATTGATGTTCGATTAAAACAAAAGAAGAGGTGGAAACAATTGATGATGAACCTACTAAAGCTGTTTTTTTGGACAATTGCGAAACGGAAATTTCGCGTTTCGTGTCGAAATTGTAGAAGGAAGTAGAGGAAATGTTGAAAACAGCTTTTGAATTTCAATTTTTCGCGCTGATTCTCTCCACTTCTTATGATTTATTCATCCCGATCACCTGGATTTGCATTTGTTATTTACATCGTGTCCTCTTCGTTTTACGACATTTATCGACATTGGGGAAAAGCGCGAGCGATCACTTTCTATTCGAACGTCTCTGAAAGTCTCTTTAAACTCTACAACATAGATTGCATCTTCAATTTCAAAAGAAAACTATTCCAAATTGGTTACCAGGGAAACGATTTTGCCATGTTACCAAGGAAATCGTTAAAATGCAATTGCACAAAAAAAAAGTTGAAAGTTTTTCCAAAACCTGCTTGGATTATGGACATTAGTCATGGTTTGTTCGCTGCAGTTTTTCAGCTTACGTTCTCAAACACGTGATTTCTAAAAAAAACACAACTTTCAAGACTATCTAGACTATCATAACTTTTTACGATCTAAAATACGAATAACCTAATTAGTCTGAAAGTATTCTCTATAATATTTGCATATTCTCTTTTATAAAAATCGCTCCAGTGGTTTTCAATAAATTAAAAAAAAAGAAGAGGAACGTATTGTTTTCTCATTTAATGCCACCTTTCTTTTGTTTGTTGTTGTTAATATCCGCATATTTCATGGAGGAAATCCACATCCGATTCATCTACACATGTTATTACCATAGCAACAAACAATGATGTTACATAACAACGATAACAATCGATTTCCACCATCAGCAGCAGTAGTGAACGCTCAATTTTAAGCGGTTTTTAAGTACCGTTGTCAATAGCAGCAAGAACTCGATTGTTTATTATTTAAAAATTGAAACAAAAAATCTTCTTAATTCTTGTTAATTTAAAAACTTCAAACAAAATTTGATGTTTAATTGTTTCTGTTGCCATGACACAAACCATAATTCTTTTATATATGGGATATAACCATGGTAACAAAGCCATGGTGGATGAAACAAATGGTAAACAAACAAACGAAGAAGAAATGGTGAAATTCGGAAAGGATAGCGAAATTAAATATTTTCTCGAAAAAAAACAATTGAAAGAAATGCGACTTAAAACAAGTGAATGACAAATAAATAAATAAACAAACAACGAAAGAAAAACAAAATAACAACAGAAAAAACAACACAAAAACAAAAGTAGCTTAAAACAACCGAATGACATACACGAAAACAAAAGCGTGTACCTTGGACGCAAAACAACTGACTAACTTTCTTCCGATGTTGTGGGAATGAAGAGAAAAAAGTAATAATGATTGAAGAAATGAATGCACGTAAGTAAATCCACCTTAGAGGCGTATAATAATAGCGTTTAACTCGAGCTCTTCTCTTTCTTTCTATATCTACTCTAATTAAATGTGAACACGTTAATTACAATATTTTACAGTCTTACGCTTATTATTAATAATGCATAATTAATTCGCTTGCTGCTGCTGCTGCTATGGCAACAACCAAGGTCAATAGCACTTTTTCTCCTCACAACGTCTTTTGTTTTTCCACCGCCGCTTCTGTTTATCCCATCAAAACATTTCTATTGTTTTTCTCTCTCTATCTCTCTCTTCATAGATTACTAGATTTACCAATAACCGAAAAAAAACAATAATTAACGTTTACGAAATATTGAAACTTGACCAGTTTTCTTTTAATTACTATTATTAAAAGAGTGGTGTTCCCTTCTGGTATTCGCGATGATCGTAAAATACCCGGAGAACGTTCGCTTCTAGTTCAATAGTTGAACTCTAAAGAGAACGTGTTTCTCGAAACTCGCTTAAGTCAAGTGTACAAATACACAAACACTCATAAAGTGTACAGTATTAATTTACAGGTTTGACTCATTTTCCGGAAAACCGAAGACAACATTTTTTTTTGCTTTTCTTCATTTGATCAATAATCGATCATAAACTCTGACTCATTTTCGCAGGAAAAAAACCCGTGTAAGAAGTTTTTCTCAATTCAATATGTGAATCGTCAGCGTCGGAGCGCGAAGATGAAACGGAAAAATGTTACTTGTTACTTAAGTTAAGTAATGTTCTGTGAGTTGACGATGATGATCGAATGTACAGTTGTGCAGAGTTTACAGTTCGAGGCGAGAAAATATATGCGTGTGTGGTTGAAGCGTTTTTCCTCTCCGTCTCTCGTCGATGACTTAACTCGATTCTTCGATTGTTTTAAGTCAATTAAGTAAAGTTTTTTTTTATGTTGTCGTCGTTGTTTAAAAAGCAGGAAATTTCTCGAAAATGGAAACCGCACTTCCTTGAACTTTTCTAATCGATGGATGATGATGGGGAGATCGCAGAGGGCGTTGCAAAATATTGAGAGGAGATATCTGGAAATGGAAAGGACTTTCGCCGCCTTCTGGATTTGGTTCAAAATTGGTGGATGACCTTAACGTCGAGGCGAGTGTAAGAGTGGATATCGGCGGATTCGTCTTAGGCGGCGGCGGCAGCAACAGCCCACGCGTGAAAAGAGAATGGTCGGAAAGGAAAAGGTCGGAAAAATATTCAGATGTTTCTTCGCGTTTTCTGGACCGGACGATGAGGAAACAATGGAAACAATCGAATCTTACCCATCTAAGATGCGTTTTTGTTTGTTTTTGTTTTTTGTTTTGTTTTCGATGCTGCACTTGTTATATATAGAAATTGAAGGGATCGTAGGTGGCTGCTTTCCGTTTCGTCTTTTGGTTAAAAAAAAAACAACAATCGAAGTCGCGTAACTGTAACCGTAACCGCGCACAACAACTGAGAAACGATCTTATTGTCGATGATGTTAAAGACTTCTTTGTATCCGTGTCTTGTCTTGTTGCACTCCGCGAAAGAAGACCATTTCGGAGTCGCGCCCGTCGAGGAACTGAGCCGACTTCTCTCCCAAATCCATCTGCGTCTTTCCTTCAACCCTACTTCTACTATTACCATCATCAACATCAACATCACAGTCCGTCCGTTCATTCCGAGTCGAAGCCTCAAGGCGAACGGGTTTAACAACACTCGCAAGAACAAAATCATCATCATCATCATCGCGATAGTCATGATCGCAAAAAACAAAAAAACAAAAACAATCCTTCCACCCGAAAAACAAAAAAAAAGGCTCACCTGGATCCTCATTAAATTATCAACGCCGCCTCGTTTATCCTTCTTCTTTTTTCGTTTGTTTTATCCTTTTTACACTTATTAACTTTTACTTTCGAAACAGTAGGTAGACGAGGAGCAGCAGCAGCAGCAACAGCAGCGCAAGTTATTCACTCGTTCGTTCGTTCTCCACTCCACTACGGATCCTTTGTATTCAAAAACTTTTGCAAGAGCTCGACTTTACTTTTCCTTCTTCCTTCTCTGCGGTGCGCCCACCTTCATCGCCGCCGCGGATCAGACGAAAGCGCCAAAATTCAAAACGATACATTAGTTACGTAATAGAGTAGATGATAAGTGTTAACGAGAATTAATGATTAGAAAAAATTCGTAGAAATTAGTTCGATAATTCCCAATTAAAAGTTTATAACTTGATGCACAGTTTACTTGGAAAACTCATTTTTTATTTATTTTATTCTTTAATTATTTAGCTTTAATTATCTGTTATTAAATATGTATGTTAATTACGTAGATTTTGAGAAAATTGATAAAAAGTGAAGATGTGTTTTGTGAATGAAAAGTGGATTTTGGTAACTTCAATTTGAAAAGCTTATAACTTTAAGTATATTTAATTTGGAATACTCATTTTTTATTTATTTTATTCTTTAATTATTTAGCTTTCATTATATGTTATGAAATATGTATGTTAATTACGTAGATTTTGAGAAAATTGATAAAAAGTGAAGTTGAAACGTGGACTTTGGTTAGATCAATTTGAAAAGCTTATAACTTCAAGTATATTCAATTTGGAAAACTCATTTTTTATTTATTTTGTTCTTTAATTATTTAGCTTTGATTATCTGTTATGAAATATGCATGTTAATTACGTAGATTTTGAGAAAACTGATAAAAACTGAAGATGTGTTTTATGAAAGAAAAGTGGACTTTGGTTACTTCAATTTGAAAAGCCTATAACTTCGAGTATATTCAATTTGGAAAACTCATTTTTTATTTATTTTATTCTTTAATTATTTAAATTTGATTATTTGTCATAAAATATGTATGTTAATTATGTAAATTTTGAGAAAATTGATAAAAAGTGAAGATGTGTTTTATGAATGAAAAGTGGACTTTGGTTACTTCAATTTGAAAAGCTTATAACTTAAGTATATTTAATTTGGAAAACTCATTTTTTATTTATTTTGTTCTTTAATTATTTAGCTTTGATTATCTGTTATGAAATATGTATGTTAATTACGTAGATTTTGAGAAAATTGATAAAAAGTGAAGATGTGAAAGTGGACTTTGGTTATCAATTTGAAAAGCTTATAACTTCAAGTATATTAATTGGAAAACTCATTTTTTTTATTTTGTTCTTTAATTACTTAAGTTTAATATTCTAAAACAAAAT